ATTTTATCATCATATTGTGACTGAGTATACTTCCATTTCTATTACTTTAAAATTATAACTCCCTCCTAAATATTCTTTACTAAATTAATCTCCTTTCTTAAACCCTTGTGGAGGCATAAATGTATCTCCTAAACTACAAGAACTATCACTATTATGATTGCAGTCATTACAAATACAAATATCATAACCAAATTAACCGAATTCCATTAAATAATCTTTGTTACATCTAACTGCCTTATCAAAGTTTTGATATTATTTATGCAGAGTATTCTTACTTAAACTAAACAAAAATGCATCATTATCTTAAAGATGTAAGCCACTATCAGGAGACGTCCAAGAGAGGGAAGTGTAGCCTCCGAAAACTTCACCATGCTCACTTTGTATGAATGAAATATTTGGCCCTTGATTATCACATTTTTAATGAAAGTTAATTGCTTTAAAACCATCTCTAGAAGCTTTATATATAAGTTTGCATATACCATTTATCTTAAATAGCTTTGGTTATTACTTTACATCAAGTTGAAAGTCAACTAATCTTCTAAAGATAATGCACTGTTCTATTTCTGGTTTAATTGTTTTTAAAAATGTAGAGTTGTAATCTAACTTAGTTTATAGCTAATTAAACTAATTTGCAAGATTTTCTATTTTTGTTTATGACAATTCATTCACTGTATCTTATAGTTCTTACAATTAATTTTGAATGTTAATCGCTTTAATATCTTCTTGGCTTTGAACAAGAACTTGCAATTGTCCTTCATTATTTATATGATTAATCTATTAAAAAGCGTTGTCACTACAAATATAAATTAAAGTTAATAAATTACGTAAAATTAGTAATAAAGTTTAAAATGTCTGTGTTTTCTCTTAATTTTATTTTAACATCATCATTAATTGGGGAAAGTTAAAGAATTTGACAGCTTTTATTGATGATTTTTTCAATTTCAACAACATTAAATTCTCTTTCTTTATATACAAAAGCATTAACATTGTGAATCAAATTCTTAATATATTCAATTTGATCATAGAAATAAGGAAGAACTTTTTGAAATGCATTCTCTAAAGGTTTTCTTTCAAAATCAAGATGCGTCTTTCCATCTTCTAGGCATTTCAGATGAGGATCAACAATCATACAAATAGTACAAATGATCTTATTTCTTAGTTTACAGTAAACTTATGCTTGAATATCCTAATGCTCAGAACAATTGATGAGATAGAAATTTTGCTTCTGAAGATTTCTTATCAAAAACTTATTTTCAAAAACTGGTTCGTCAATAGCACAGAGATGAGTATTATCATAGGGACATTTAATTTGTTTTTTTTTGACTTAGTACTTTTTGTAGCATTATTAGCAGATCATATCTCCACAGGGTAGTTCAAGTGGTTTTCTTTCTTCAATATTGTATAATTTATTGCAACCAAGGCAAGTAAATATTTCGTAAAAGTTTTACTGCATCTTTCTTTTTAGAGTTTTATTTTATTCTTGATATTTAATAATATCGAAAGGGTTGCTAATTTATTTATCAATCGATTTTTGACCAATTTGATTTCACATTTCTTTTATTACTGAATTTTAACTCAAACGGGGTTTTGGGGTTTTGGGG